GTCATTTGGTCTCCTTAGCCTTCTCTAGGCTATGACAATTTCTCAGACTTTCCTCATTTTGGATGAGCTTGACTACTTTGAGGAGTACTAGCCATGTATTCTGCACAATGTCTCTCAATTTGGGTTTGTCTGGTGTTTTTCTCATGATTGGAGTGGAGTTACTGGCTTTGGAGAGGAAAATAGCGGAGGTAAAATGTTGCCATGTCATCACATTATGACAGTACATTCTACCAGTACGTCTTACCACTGTTGATCCTCTGACGGGGGTGGTGTTTGCCAGGTTATCTGTCCATGAGGGCTGCTATAACAAAATATCATAAACTTGTAAACAACAGCTCGCAAACAACAGAAAGTTACTTCTCACGGTTCTTGAAGTGGCAAGTCCAAGATCGGGGTGCTAGCATGGTTAGATTCTGGTAAGGGCCCTCTTCGGGGTTGCAGACTGCCAACTTTTTTCTGTATCCTCACATGCATGAAGGGGCAAAAGAGATTATGTTGTGCCTCTTCTATAAGGACACTAATCCCACTCCTCTCCCATCACCTTGCAGAGGTCCCACCTCTTGGTACCATCACCTTGGAGGTTAGGATTCCATCATATGACGTTTGGAGAGACATTCAGACCATAGCACCAGTTTTCTCTGCTGTAAAGCTATTCCTTTTCCCTATTTTCATACTGTACTCTTTGGAAAGAAATTACTGTGTGCAGCCCACATATAAGGAGTGGAGATTTAAGTTTCACCTCCTTGACAGGAAGCTTCACTTGATTTTATTTCCATAAACTTATTATCTAAGAATATTGCCTCTGCTGAATCCTGTCATTACAAAAACTTGTCCAAGAGATGTGTACTCATAGTACATTGGACAATTGTCTCCCAATGTACGCTTACCTATCTGTGTATATATATTTCTTTTTTCATGATATGTACAGTGTAATAAATACATTCTGATTAAAGACAAAAAATGAGTCCACTAAATTAAATAACTAAACTAGAAGAGTTTATTTACTGGGCTAGGTTTCTAGTTTGTTGTAACAATCATTAACCAGAGTTCTTTCAACTTCAGAGGGAAGTGGAATGAGATTTTACAGCTATACTGTAACAAAATATGAAGAATTTTGTGATAAAAGAAACAAATAGAAAAGTGAAGAAATCTATTATGGGTAATATTCTTAAGGTGCAATTCATATAATTGCTAAATATGCTATTTATTATGTCCAAAATAATGATTGAAAGCATAACATCTTATTATCAGAGTAAAAATAATATTTGGAAACATACTGGGGAGACTCAACCATAGAAATGGCCATAGTAGTAACACTGGAATTCAATTTTTGGAATTAAAAAGAATATGCATCCAAACACATGCTGCTTAAAAGTAAATATAGGAAGCACATTTATCTTCCCAAGAATGAATTATATTCTGTAATGCATTCATTAATCTCATCTTAATGTAGAAATTATTTTCTTGGGTAGTTTAAATGAGAAAAAATATTTGCAGATTGAACATAAGAAGATTCTATACTAGATTCCACATATTTTTTAACATTTTAAAATGTATGTTTTATTTTGAATTGGCTATCTTCCAACAACCTGTATTTGATTTATCTTCTAATATCTAACCCTCTTTCATGTATTGGGTAATGCTTTTTCATGGAATTTCATGTATTGGGCAATGCTTTCTTGCTGACTATACATCTCATCTCCAAAAGAGGGAAGTTAAATATTATAGAACCAGTTTGAAAAAAAAAAGTGATTTTCTTCTATTAATATTGCAAACCATTCTATCAATCAAGTGAACATATAATTATTTTAAAGTAAAAAAAGTAAATAATTTAAAAATCCATACATTATACTGTCTTTTTTTTTTTTTTTGTAGAGATGGGGTCTTGTTATTTTGCCCAGGTTGGTCTTGAATTCCTGGGCTCAAGTGTTCCTCCCGCCTCAGCCTCCCAAAGTGCTGGGATTACAGGCGTGAGCCACCGTGCCTGGCCTTTAACTCTTTCCTCTTACTCTTTTACTCTTTAGATTTTTAAGAAATTAACTATTCTTAGTAAATTCACATACCATATAGCATACATTTCTGTTTGACACAAAAATGCATCATTTATATAGATAATACAGTGCAGTCTATACATGTATGAAATGTTACAATTACAAAATATATTGGTGACCCTCTTGTCAAAACAATACAGGAAAATTATTTTGTAGTCATACATAATGATTTATAACATAAAATAAATTAAGTAATAAATGACTTATTGGTTTGTGTGGATAAGTAAATAAAATAAAAATATAAAAGTGATTTCATAAGTAATATCTTGCCTTAAAGAAGTTTGGAGGTTTTGCAATTACTTTGAAAAATGTATAACTCAGGAGAGTTTATTAAGATTATCTGGATCATTTTTTGAGCAGCAACAAACACTGTTCTATGATGGTAGCTTCTATTCAACTCATAAAACTTTTATTGAAAGCCTAGGACACTATTATACATGTCAAGACCACTGAGATGAATGAGATTTGGGGCCTGTCCCCTGGGAATTCTAGCTTATGAATTCAATTATGACAATTTTAAGTTACTCAATAAATTTTTGCTTGTATTTCCACCAAAATAGATTTACTGTATCTTTATTGCATACATTATCATGTTATAAAAATGCATTTTAAAACATGTAAGTCTTTTGAAAAATTTCAAAGTTGTCACTTTCACATTCTCTTGTTGGAACACAAACCTATTCATTAGATTAACTCATGAAACACCTAGAATTTTATTTAAAAAGTGAATGTCCATGTCCAAGGTCTTGAGCTAAGAACTAGAGGACACCAAATGGCATAAACACACAGCTCATTCTTTCAAGAAACTTTATATCAAGTTAGACACGTACAAGGTATTTATCCAAGAATATCATCTTCTGGGCTCTAAGTCGAAGCCAGTGATTTTGATTTAATTATTAATATTTTATAAGCACTTTTTATTCACTCATAAAGCCATACATATATTTATAGTTTTTAGTAGCATCTGTAAAAGGTAATGCATACAACAATAACTATTATTACAATTTCTAAATAAAATTCAGGCAATGGAGCTTGCTATAGTAGAAAGAATATCAACTTGGGAGTCAGGCAGACCTGAGTTTGATACAGGTCTGTATCACTTATTAGATGTGATTTTGGTCTACTTCCTTAAACTCTCTGAGACTTGGTGTTATAATTGCAGGGCTAGATAAATTCTAACTTTCAGTGAGGCTGGGAGGATTTATGTAACATACGTAGAGCTCTTCACAGGTGCCTGGTGGAGAGTAGGTACAGAAAGCTACCAGATATTTGCCAGCATTAGAATTATAAGACTTGGGCAATGCTTTACTGTTTTTAAAATGAGTTGACCTTCATTATCCCATTTAAACTTCATGCCAACCTCTGAAAGTGAGGTATTATCAATTCACTTTTTCAGATAAAAAAAGAAGCCAAGGAGCCAAATGACCACCTACCCATCCAGGCTTTGAGTCCATGTTTTCTAGCTCTATGTCCTGCTTCTCCCTAAAGGATTAGAAATTGTGAGAATTCTATTTAGCCTTTTTCACACTAAAACTTACCTGCCTGGCTTTGGGCAAGATACATGGCTACTTGAAGTCTTAGCTTTCTTATCCATACATAAAGAGTATTGTACTAATCTGTCTTCCTAGTTCCTTCCAATTCTGTGTACACACTGAGAAGCAGTATGGTGTAGTTGTTGAAGGCATGGTGTTGGAAATAAACTCTTGAGTTTCAAATCATGACTGTACCATTTGTTGGCTCTGTAACTTTAAGTCGCCAGATCTCTTTAAGTATTGTTTTATTCATCATTATGTGTTAATAAATAGTACTTACTTCAGCACATCATTTTAAAGAATAAATGAATTAAACTATGGAAAGTACTTATAATGAGATCTGATATAGAGTAGGAATTATATGCATATTTTTTCTGATTATCATTATCCTAAAATTCTAACACCAAGTTCAGTTACTTTAAGTGAGCTATTTTAACGGTTCAAGTCATAGAGTAGATTTGCTTAAACAATTAAGTGAAAGTTTCCCCATCCTGGCTGGGTTCATGGCCTGAACTCATTGCTGTCCTTGTGTGACAGACTTAATATGGTAGCTTTATTCCAAAGAGCAGTAACTGGTAGACATGGTACCACATGTGCCTAGGAGCAGTACTTACCTGTCCAGTAATGTGTGTGAGTATGTGTGTGTGAATCAATATATAGTCCACACTGCATTTCTTCCTGGTAATCCAACTGACCTAATAAATCTGCTTCTATAAATTTCCGGAAGTAACCAGGATCTGTATCAGTGTGATTATAGAGGCCAGTGACTCTAACTTAGACATTTGCTGAAACATTAAAAACTATAGCAAAAACTTTTTTACAGAAGAATCACTTAAGCATTTATATTCCAAGTATATGATGTGCCCTGGAAATCATTTTGATAGGAAAAATTATTAAAAATACTAATTCTACTATACATTATTTATAAACAAACCCAAGTGTTTCTAAATTATTTCAAGAATGAAAATGTTCATTAACATATTTAAAACATATTACATTCACATTAGACTTTCCTGAAAAGTAATTCCAATAACTGAATTTAGAAATATGGGGACCTATAAAACAATGGAGTCAACATAAAAGTAATAAGTAAATATTCGGCAAATTTCATAAAAAGATAAAATATAAAGGTTTCATTTTCATAGCATGAATTTTTAGAACATTTTAGAAAAAAATTCATATCCAAATTATTGTTATATATCATGATGTCTACTGATTTATATGCAAAGCTTATTTATAATTTCCATGCTTTTATTTTTGCTTTGTAAGAATTATATTTCTTAATTCATTTAAAGAATGTTTAAAGGAGGTATAAAGCAGCTGAAATTGTTCTAAGCAACTACTAGCATAGCGCAAAAAAATATGCCTTCATTCCACCTTTTTTTTCCTTCTGTATTCACTTTTTCTTTTTTGCTAGGTGGCATGCATGCAGTGGTTTCATGGAGACCATACAATGCTTGAGATGATTGAGAAAAAGCGTTGCCTGTGCAAGGAAATAAAGGATAGACAGAAAACGGAAAAGGGCCTTTGCAAACAGGATAGCATGCCTATCCTACCCAGCTGGAAGAAGAATGCAGGTGCAAAGAAGTACAGCCCTCCACCCTATTCTAAACAGCAAACGGTGTTCTGGGATACTGCCATATGAGTGCGCGCAGGAGGTGTGAGCGCCACAGTACTCACTGCGAAGAGGGAGGTCGACTGGGTCATGTGATAATTAACTGTTACGTATCTTCTCTGTTGGAGTGGAATGCCGGGGGAAGCTGGGCCTACCCGTGGCAAGTTCAAGATAAAATGAATATGTCCTTGCAATGAAGGCACACTTATTTATCCTGGATTATTTTGAATCCAGAAGATATTGAAATGTACATATTTTACTAGTTTATGGGTGACACCTGAAATGATACACATTATACGTATATAAATTACAGAAATATCAAGAGTTTACTATATGATATAATTTCGGTATTAACTGGTTTGCTATCTCTTTTATATGTAATCCCTTGATGCCTTTTATTATTAATTTTTGCATTTAAAATGTTGTTTTTCCCTTGCCCATATTTGGCTTCTGTACAAGAGCTCACAGCTATAAATCATGTTCAATCACATAATATATGATCTGGTGCTAGTAATGTAGAAGTTGAATATCATATTTGTTAAGAGCATCTGTTACTTTTTTAAGTTTTTAAGGATTTGACAGGAAATGAATGCAAATGTGATGCTTAATTTGGACTTCCAAGCTACATTGACACCAATATTTTTGCTACATTGGCTTTATAAGAATTTCTCTTTGATATCCTCTTGTTTATACTAATCAGTGGTGAGTCAGACTCCAGAGAAAGTTATTAGGATATATTTGGACATCCCAGCAGAAAACATTTTCTTTAGAAATGACTTTAGGGACATGTGTCCTTGCATCATTGATCTGATTGCAGGAGACCAGGGTTCACTGTGACAATGGAAGGAACGAGGAATCAAAAGCTGATGAGCGTGATGACTTTCAGGAAAGTGGGACCAGTGGCATTATGGCCACCATAGTCACTATTTTTAAGTAACTTTTCACGTGTATGCTTGCTTCCCCTAGAAAATGAGAAATAAACATCAAACGACACCAGTTTGCATCGTTTAGTACACTAAATGCCAATCTTTCTCAAAATTTAGGTTCATTAATAGAAAGTATTTCTTGTCAATTTTTTTAAACTAGTTATCACCACATTTTTGGGTCATAATCTTCTGCTCATGATCATCTCACCCATTCTTACTGATTATGACACCATGACCAAAGAATTATGACCACTTCTTATTTTATTTTGTTTTAAGGAAGAAACAGGAAATACAGGGGATGGGGGATGGGGTGGATTCAATTTTATGTGGTGGTAAAATTTAAGTTAAAAAAAAATCATATATATCTTTTAAGAGTAACTTGTTAATTGAATATAAATATTGCCACGGATGAATAAAAAAGAAACTATTACATATATTTTGTATATTTAAATTACTACTATTTATGCTTCCAAAAATTGACAGTATGTGGTTCTTTGTTAACAATCAATTTAGTATTATATTTCTGAGAGAAAAAGTGTGTGTTTGAAGTTATTGTCATAGTGGTTTTCCTTGTAAGGGTATTGACAGCAATAGTTCCGTGCTGCTCAATAAAGCCAAATATATAACAGGAGTTAGAGAATTTTTGTAATCTATATTGCTAAAAACCTAGTAATGCTTTATTGGTAATGGTTTCTTTCAAAAGCCTTTGCAATGTTATAACATAATTTTTTAATGTTTTATAATTAATGTATATTTTGATGTCCAGTCAGAATTCTGGAAGAATAAGGACAAAGGTAAGTGGGAGCATGTGTAGGGTGTGCCTGTGTGTGTGTGTGTGTGTGTGTGTGTGTGTGTGTGTGTGTGTGTGTGTATGACTGCTCACTGGGAGAATTGTATACATGAAATTCTTATTGAGGTTTTAGGTTTTGCGTGTACAATTGAGGTGGTAAGAAGGCAGACTCGCAAGTGCAGGATATCACAGAGGGATCTTAAGTAGCTTAAATAAATCCTGCTGCCATGTTTCACACCAGGTATAGGTTATGTTTCAAACCCAACAACCAATGGAGCACAAATCTAGGAGTGATGAAATGTGTTAAGATACAATCAGAATGGAAATCAAAGGTGTTTGTGATCCAAGTTGTTATCCTGATTTAAGGTATTATGACCACATGTACTTAAGCCAATCAGTCAGACACAAGACATCAATTCTCAGCTTCTTTATGAAATTGGTACATATATATTCAGGCTCAGTGTGTAATGATTACCCTTCCCCTAAAATTTATATTTAGGCAACATCTTTCTGTGGGAAGATGCAGGTGTGTTTTTCAGATGTCAGTCTTTCCCATATCTGTGAAGTAGGCAGAAGATATTGTTTTGAATGCTGGCCACTCATCAAGAAGGAAACAGAGGTACTATAATAACATGATTTGTGTTGGATTCAGCCATTCCCATCTGTTCTGTCAAACTCATGCTACTGCCAGTTCTCATACACTCCTCTTTGAAATGTGTTATTTTCTGAGGAGGTAACTTGCTTGAAAATTTGAACTTAGGCAACCATTTCCATTTATTTCTACGAATCTCTCCTTAAGTGGGAAGTAACTGAAAGATCTGGAAAAGTGGCTTCCCTGAGATTTGACTCAAGAACTGTTATTCTGTGCCTATACAATTGTCCACCAGGGCAATAGTCGTTCTATAATCGATTTCCTCTTTGTGTAGTGTTTCTACATGTGGAGAAAAAAAGTCATTATTGTATAGGGAAAAATAAGCGGACTCTGGCAGTGATCAATCAGGACACTTCAATAGATGAATTTGGTCAGGAGATAACCTCCAGCCAGGACACTATGCCATGATAAAGCTCATATTTCTAGCAGTGCCAAAGAACAAATCATATCATGGCATGGTTATCAGGTTGCAAGAGCTCAAACCTATGAAAAATGGTCTTTTCACAGCAAATGTTATAGAAACAGAATTTTATTGGCTGTCAGTAAGATGCTTTTATCTGTGAAACACTTCTTAGCAGAGAAGAAATAAATTTCTTTAGAGTTGATGGAAGGAAAAAATAAAATCCTACATTTCTTTTCCCATTCACAGAAGCCAGCATCTTCTGAGATATAATGGTAGCCCTTTAGATGGACACTGCAGACATTTCTCCTGTCTTTATGCTACAGAAGCATAAAGTGACAAATTTGTGTAAATGAATGTTAATGCCCACTCATATAAAATAATTAGGAATGTAAAGCAAAACATTAAGAGATAAAATTTGTCATTTTTAAGAATATACACATCCAAATACATGGCAATTGTCTGGAGACAACTGGGTATAACTTTACTTTTCAAAGTAGTGACAATATTTCAAAATAGTGACAAGGTTTCTTTGACTATTGCTAAAAAACAGAAAAGATGACTTTTCTTATTGCACTTTGCCGTAGGTCTTGTCTGTACATGGAATTTAGTTTGATTCATTTGAATGAGTTTGATAAATAAGTCAATACAACTGAACATTGTATTGTTTTAAATAATTAAATTAAGTAAAACAATGCACATAAAAATGCAATTTTAATGTCATTACATATTAAGACGGCTCAGTTTTCTAACGTAGAAAAGAGCTTGTGAGATATGCTTACATGTGAAATTAAGAAAAGATTCTATGATTTAAGCGGTAAGTAATCTGAGAGAATTTACTCTTGTGAAAGAATAGAAGTAGAATAGTATAGCGATTCACAATTCATTCTGTCCCAAACTTAAATGGAAATAAAAGAAAAATGTTACCTGTAGTATTCATGAGTATCTCACTATATCTTCCATCCATGTGAAAATAGATAATTGTATAATGTGGACAATTTGTTATTAATCTATTATTTATTTAACAGTTCATTATTGACCAACTTATGTATCAGTCATGTTTACAAATTTCTGAAGCACTTGGCATTAAACATTGAAAAAGATGTGGTCCCTGCCTTCAAGGAGCTTAATTATACAATCATCAATATTTTCAAAATAAAACCGATTGTTTTTAAGAATATGTACAATTTCATGTGTGTTCAACATCTCTTATGTGTTTATATAAGGCATTCTCTTTTTTTCAAGTGTACAGTCGAAATAAAATACTAAAACATACTAAATTTAATATCTAGGTATGAAATATGTTTATGTGTAAGCCTCTATATGTACACATATGATATGTACTGCTGTCTTTGTAAAACAGTAAAAGGATAACACGTTTTGCCATGTTGGACTTGAACATTATGGCTTGGGGTTTGGATGATTTAAAACCCTTTGATATTTGGGTCAATTACATTGCAGCAAAATGTGTGTAACATAGAAAAATGTGTAATTTACATTTCCCTTTAAATGTTTTAAAGTTTCAAATTTGAGTGAAAACATTTTTAAAGAAATATTGTTGGATCTATCTCAGTCAAACATGTGAAAATCTTTTCGAAGTATTCAATTGTTCCCAAATATAACTGGGTTTGCCCACCCTAAAAGCATCTACATTTACACATGTATACAGCCACATACAGTATACATACTGTATATAATATATATGAAGATGTTTAGTATGCACTTCTTTTGTTTGGAATTCATTAAGTTAACATTTATAGTGTAGCAATTTGTGTAAAGTGCACTGTGATTATAAAAAGCAAAGCACAGTAAAGTCACAGGTCTTGTTATCTTGCACTAAAAATGTGTTTACGTATTTAGCAATTGTATGTTTACTTTCTTGCTCTTTTCAAACAATTGAAACAAATAGCTATGAGAAAATGAAATAAAATAATATGTTTTTTAGTGGATAATGGCACTACATTTTTGAAAGACAGGGTTTTTAAAGAAAACCATTTAACATCCATTCCAATATAACATGTTTACCATATCTAAAAATCTGAATGTGATATTGCATTTTTCATAATTCATTAGAAATGTCAGGTATGTGCCTGAAAAATTGTGCAAATAAGCATTAGATAACAGATTTCTCTACTCATGTGTTACTAGCCATTTCTATATGCATAATAATATAAACACTGATGTTTTAATGTCTCTTAATTTTTGTACTTGATTTTTTTAGGTAACATGTAATTATAAATGTACTTTGATACTACTGAAGTAACCAGATGTTGTTTGAAAACAATTTGTTTTCTTTAGTGCATTGGCAATATTTTACAATACTTTTGTGCTTATTTATTTGTGCTCCCGTGTAATTATAATAAAAGCAATAGTTTAAATTAGTTGATTTTGTTGTTGCTGTTTTTTATTCATCAAGACACACAATTAATAAGAACTTTTCAAAGAAAAGTGCACACATTTTCAACTTCTAGAGTTGGCTATGAGATTGCATGCATTGTGGAAGACTGATGCCGGTGAGTACTAAGGGGCTGGGCTTTTTAATTTAGTTATGTGACCCCAAATTATCGTTAACCACTATTTGCCTTCTGCCTCAAGAGAACCTTGACCTTTCTCTTTCATTCAATTGTGCCTAATTCCAGTTAAATGACTCAGAGTGTATCTAAGGTGTGCTGGGAGCATTAAAGAAAAATTTAAAAATCTAGCAATCCTAGACCTGTGTATGCAGATAAGATATTTATTGGAAGGGTACTTAGCACATTCATTTATTCAGTCATGTTTATAAAATTAACCTGGCTTAAATAGGCAGTGAGTCAGTATGTTTAATGTTGCTGAGATATTAATAAATGAAATGTTGAGCATCTGAAATACATGAGACGAGATTCTGGAACTCCATGAGCTTACACAAAAAGTGCATCTGAAATAATAAAGGGTCTTGTAATCGTCTCTAATGGCTACTTCATCAACCACTTATCTCTTCTCCCCTATATCCAATCTCAGTGTAATTAATTATAATTTCATAATCCCTCACCAATTCTTTTCACGTTCATTTTTTTAAAGGAATCTGATTTATTGTCACTGTTTTATCCCACCCCTCCAGTTACTCAAAGTCTCCTTGTGCTACTCTATCTCTTGGTTGAGCAAGAGATAACCAATCCTCCCTCCCCTCGCCACCATCAACACTCCAAGCTTCCATCCATCTCAGCCCACGACAAGAAGTGCTCTCATTTTCGCAATTGCTGGTCTCTTCCATTTCTCATCCCTCATTAAAACTCACTTTTTTCCAGCTTTGCAGTCTCAGAGTCTAATTAAATTACGATGACACTAAGATGTGAGTGACTGATAAAACAATGTTCATCCTCCTATGGCAATTTGTATTTGAGAAAATTCTTATTAACATGCATGACTGAATATCTATTAGGGGAATGTCAGGCAATGTGACAGACCAGGAGATCGGAAGAAGAGAATTTTAGAGAAAACTTTGCATAACATCACCTCAAATCATGTCTTCTAGAGGAATGGTTTCTCAGACTTTGCTGCACAGAAAAATCAAGTGGACAATCCTTAAAAGCCCCCTATGTCCAGAAGTCATCCTGGGATACTACACATGCATTAGTAGTTTTTAAAATCTCCCAGTTGAGTCCAATATGCAGCTAAATTTGAGAATTAAAACAGTGATTCTCAAACTTTAAGGTCCATGTTTATCACCTGGGGATCTTATTAACATACAGGTCCTTATTCAGAAGAGTCTGAGATCTGGCATTGATAGCAAGGTCTCAGGAGACGCCAATGCTGCCTGTCCATAAGCTACCTTTTCAGGAGCAAATCCTGTGCAACTCTCTCCCCTGCCTGTTTAGGGAGCTCTGATAGCCGTACTCTAGATCACTGCTACTCAAAGTGTCCTTCGCAGATGGACAGTATGGCATCCTCTTGGGACTTGTTAAAAATGCAAAACCTTGCGCTTCATCCCAGATGGATCCTACGGGTCGAGGCTCATTAATCTATTCCAGCAAACCATCTAGATGCTTCTTGTGTCCAGCAAAGTTTGAGAAGGATTGCCTTGGACCAATGTGATTTTCAACCATGGCAGCACATTGCATTCATCTTGGGATATTTTTATTGAGCACTGATGTCTGGGCCCCACTCTCAGAGTTCCTGATTTTATCAGCCTGGAATCAGAGATGGACTATTCTTTCTTCTTCGTTCCTCCTCCTTTTTCTCTTTTCTTCTTTCTTCCCTAGAATATCCCAGGAGATTAGAATATGAAGCTGGTACTCAGAAAGCTATTTTAGACAATCAACTCTGTCCTATACATTGGAAATTATATCATTTCTCCCAGAAATAACATTTTATCCACAGGGCCAAATACAAGAATGCATATATTCATGTATGCACCATCAAATTTACTTACAGGTACTTCATGGCAAAGAGTACTATAAGAAGAAAATCCCAGTTTTTGGTTAAATCAATTTCCTGTTATTGGGCACACAATTGCCATTTGAGGAGGAGGGCATTTCATGAGAGCAGGTTTATAATATCTTAAAATTATTCTAAATATTACTGATAGATTCATGTCAAGTGCTCTTAATTGTTAATAATAGTATTAGGATTCTGCAGATTTCCCCCCACTTGGAATTGATGTACACCCCTCCCTGACTCTCAACCCAGCACACGATATTATGGTTGAGTCTTCATTACAATGCCATCTGCCTTGTAATAGTTATTTCTTTGGGAATTTATATTCTATACTTACATGGTTAGTTCCAGAAAGAGGGGCTAGGTTTGTTTGTTGTAAATCTTGCATTCCCCAAAGTTCCTAGCTGATAGCTCCACATATGAAAGTACTAGACAATGTTTATTGACTTAATTTATATATTTATTCAACAAATATTCACTAAATTCCCCCTATACACCAAGCACATAAGATCCCTCAAATATCTATATGAAAAAGCAAAATAATAGAAACATGAAAGTCAGAGAAGATACAAATAGCTAATAAATGCGAAAGTTATAGTCAAATCAATAATCAGAAAATACAAATTAAAAAAACACTGATAGATACTTTTAGCTCATTGAATCCTGCAAATAAAATGTTTGAGAGGTCACATCTAATATTTGGCTATGCTATGAGTCAATGTGTTTTCTCATGACTATTTCTAATAGTATAAATTGTGATGGCTTTGTAAATATTTGTCAAAATGGACTCTATGCAAAATATGCCTGTGGGTGCAAAGATGTATGATATGAATATAATTTAGTGAATTGTCACTATTTTGCATGCATAAATAACTGGAAGCAATACCAATCCCATTATTAGGGAAATGGTTGAACTTAAAAAAATTGTACATCAATACTATTTTTACGAGTTGAGAGATGCTTGAGAATGTCATAATACTAAAGAAACCCAAAATGTCAGTGGCTTGAAACACAAGGTGATTTCTTACTGACACAGGGCCCCCTCAGGACAGCTGGGGGCTCTGTCTTGTGTTTTCACCCAGAGTCCAGGCACATGGTGCCACCACCAATCTGGAACATTATACCATGCCACTAGCAGAAGACAGGGTGTGGTGGCTTGCAGACAGCTCTTAAAGCTTCCACTTGAAAATGATATGTGTCTCTCCCACTCACATTTCATTCACAGGGACATACCTAACTTCAAGGGCATTGCAAATTAAATCTACCTTGTGCCTCTAAGGAGTACTAGAAACTAAGGAACTATAATACTACACTAGGGAATAGAAAAAAATATTATACCTAGAAAGAATGATGCAGATAAATATGTTCATATTTTAATTAAAAAGTCATCTAGCTCTACAGTATATTTAAATTCCATTGCTATTTTGAAAACACATACTTATATATGTACATATGTATTCATGTAAATGAATAGACGAAGTTTTGAAACCATAAAATAAGCTGTTAAACAGAAGACGACTGTGGCACATTGTCGGTTGGGAGTAGTGATGGGGTGCTTTGACTTATCCTTTATAAACTGTAATATGCTTTGCAAAATGTAAATGTAGGAATACGTCAATATATTAATATTATTTTTTTTGATTTAAAGACAAATTTAACGAAAGTCACCACAGTGTTTTGAAACTTCTTCTCCCACTTCTTCGGATTGGAAAAAATATATATTGTCAAGAGGTTAACTAGAACAATAAACAATTGCTATCTATACCTTGTATGTCCCAAGGAATATTTGTGTGGATTGGAGTTGGCAAGGGTCTGTGAGCTGTTCTCAGATGAATGAGTCATCAGACTTTTATCAGACCAAAATATATTTTAATAGGAAACTTTTGCTCATGGTCTCTTCCCTGTGGTCTTCCACCTCTTTAAAGAAAAGAGGTATTTGGGAAAAAATATTCTGGTCCATATTCCTCAGTAGTCACCACTTCCTATACACACGTGCATCCATACACAGGGTTGTTAATGGTCCTAAGTTAATTTGGCCTTTCTCAACTATGAAGCTGCTTTAACGGGCATCAGTCATCAGTAACTTCCTGTAGTAAGAGGCAGGTGAAAGCTCTTTGCTCACACCTTAGCTATTCAAAGCAAGCCTCCAAAATTCAGCCATACCTACACATGGCTAGTAGCACGCAGACTCAATGTAGTCATGCAACCAGTTGAGTGAACTCATTGAAGGGTCAACTCTGCCTTTTAGGTATAATGAGGAACAGCTGGCATGAGAGGTTAGCTAGTGTGAGGTAAGACAATATTCAAGGACAGGTGTTGACTCCAGTGATGCAATCTACGAAGCCTATGTGGCTAGACACAAGGTTAGAGGCAAAAGTCATCCTTAGGCCTAGGGCACATTTTGAAAATCGTGTTCTGGGCTGGCTGGATTCTGAGATTGAGTCCATGCAATGGTGGAGTTGCTGGGTAATGCTCATGATTTGAACATTACTCCCTTCTCCAGGGAAAGAATGTTTCTAAGACAATTCTGCTAATTTAACAACTCTCTGATGCTGAGTGGAGATAAAGGTTGTAAATGCACTTGTAGTGGCCACCTTCTGATTAAAGTCTGTATAATCTCCTCATGGACTGTGTATGCTTCATTAAAGTAAATCCAATTAATTAACCATCACTAGGATATAGATTTAAACAAACAGAAACAAAGATACTACCAATTATGCTAAAGTGTTTGAAAATATTAATAAATTACATTCACTATGACTGCTGGCTTGTCGGGGTGAGGCAGTGTCAGTGGACCACCCAAGGAAGCCATAAGGGTTGCAAATTATTTCTAGAGGATTTTTAAACAACTATTTAAACAACCAGTCTACTTTTTATTATCACCTTGTGTTGGTGTGTAGGGGGTGTCTAAAAGATGCCAATGATAAAATCTTTCTTTTCTGTGGTATATGTATACCATGGAGTACT